TAGATTTCTATTTCATGTCTTTTCTAAAAAATGTTTATTGATCAGACTTATTAATCAAATCTATTGAATGCTTAAAGATTTATTTAACTAGATTATCAGCTCTCACTGCTCTCTTACATTCTGAATTTCATCAAAGATGATGTGCATTAAAATCTTCTGTAATTATAGAGTTTCTTGATGAAGTTATATTCAGAAATTCTCTATCAATTGTTCAGATATTATTATTTTTCTTCAATGACTTTTCATTATAGATATTTATGAGCTGTATAGTATTAAACTCATTTTCTTTATCTATAATATCACTCATCAGAATATCAGAGTCAGACATGATATTAAATCTTAGATTAAATTAATATCTTGATCTCTTTCTTTCATAGATCACTACTCTTAACTTTATCTTGAACTTTTGAGATAGAAAGCAGTAGTAGCTTGAATAAGAAATGATGTAATTTTACTCAGCATCAAAATTCAGTTTCTGAAGTAGTATAAAATTAACTTTTTATTCAAATGCAATTTGAAGATAAGAATAAATACAATTTAAGTTTCTATTCACATTATTTTGAATAAATATGATTTTTGAAGAGTTTTTAAACTTTTTTCGTTGTTTTTATTGTATATTCATACTAAAAGAGAGTAGAGATAGAGTAGAATCTAGTCACTATTATCAGATAGTAGATTATAACTATTTTGAAAAGTAGAGATCTTAACTGCTTACTAGACTGACCGTGTGACTGTGTCTGGAACCAGGACCAGATTTTTTGATAGTCTTATTACCAATTCGACTGATCTCATTACACGGTTTTAACATTAGATAGTAGTCTCATACTGTCTCAGTGAGACTTACTGTCTATTCTTGTCACATTTTCCAAATAAGATCATGATTTTCACTTCTCAATTTAAATTATTTTTATTGCTTTAAATGACTTTAAATCTCATTTGAGTGTTACCAAAAAGCGTTACTTTTTTAAAAATTAAAAATAGTCTAAAAAAAACCTTAAAATGTCTAAAAATAGTAACTTTATGCCAAGAATAGGACTAAATGGGACCAAATGGGACCACTTTCTCATTTTTTTCAAGTCATGGTTCCATTTTAAGATCTGATATATAGTCACTTTACATGTTTTTTTGATAGCCAGTCCCAGCGGGATTCACACTAAGAAATGTATGGGACCAGATCAAATGAGACCAAATGTGAAATTCATGGTCCCGGCGGCCAGTCTACTGCTTACATTATATCTAGTTTATCATCAGAGTCATTTCTCAATTCTCTAATCTTAACAGAAGTTTGAGAATTCAAATTCTGTTTACATTTAGCTGAAGAATTGAAGTTTGAAGATTTAGATAGTTGAGAGTTTCTTCTTTTTAAGCTTGCAGTTGTAAGTCTACTGACTTGACTCTTCTCTTCAGTTCTAGATTGACTTTGAGCTTTATCTTTTCTTCAGTTCTTTTGAGTTCTAGAAGTAAATATACATTCTTTTGAGCTAGATGCATGTTTTTCTTTGCAATTAGAGCACTTAAGCTGAGTATATTGATAAATTTTATCTCTTTTTGTGCATGTTTTATATTTATGCTTACTAGTTTTATGATCTCTGACACAGAATACACATTTTGAGTCTCTAAAACATGAGATTGTAAAGTATTCATATCTTTGACAGTTTAAATACTGTGTTTGAGCTTTGAGATTCATTCTTGAGTCTTTGTATTCATGAACTCTTATTTTCAAACCTGCTACTCTTACTTCAGAGATCTTTGACTGTTCAAGTGTTTTTATATATACTAGAACAGAGGCATTTCTTCTGCTTTGTCTAAACTTAATTGAATTTAGTCATACAGGCTTCTTTCTCAGTTGAATAGAGTTGTATTCTTTCAATTCATTTTTAAGAAGTAGCATTTCTTCTTCACAGTCAAAAATTTCAACTGGAATATTATAAAGAATAAATTTATCTCACTTTTCATCTCTTTCAGATAGAATTGTTGTGTTTAATAAAGATTCTACTACTGACTTTCAGAGATTCTCATTCTGAATAAGAAATTCAGCACTGAATTCAGACATTATAGTCAGAATGATGAAGTTTTTAAAGAATGATAACTCAATTAAAGCTATAACTGATTTTTGAACTTCAATATCAGTTATTAACTGAGAAAAGAACTGCTGATTAATTTCATTTCTGATTCTGAAAATAAGATTTGAGTTTAGCTTGTTTCTTTGCAGAATATTCTGATTTGAGACTTTGAGAATAAGTCTTCTATTTCTGAAGATTTGAAAGTTTTTCTCTTTTTACATTTTCTTTTTCACTTTTCTATGAATAGAGACATGAGCAGTATTCTTCTCAGTTTTCTCAGAATTTTGAGCAGATTTTGAGATAGCAGGTTTAGAGACAGTAGATTCAGCTGCTTGAGCATATATTTTCTTCTAATTCAAAGAAGAAGAAGAAGTAGAAAAAAAGAAAGAAGAAGAGTAAGATGAAGAGTCAGTGATTGTACTAGAAATTTTCAATATTTTTTAAACTGTATTTGAGATTTCAAGTTTGAACTTGATTATCTTCTGTAGTTGTCTAGTCTGAGTATGAAGAATTAACAGAACTTCTTCATTCATCTTACTCAGACACTGCTTTTCAAGAATCTTGTTTACTTTTTCAAGTTTCTGTATTTCAAGAACTTGTTATTTCTCTATTTCTTCTTTCTTTCTTCTCTTCAGAATTTCAATCTCAGAAATAGTATTTGAGAAAGCATCTTTTTTCACATTGACTGAGTGTATTTTTGAACTCATTATTTTCACTCAATGAAAAGTTGATCAGACTGTTTCAATTGAGATATTTCTAAGTCTGTTTTCAATTGAAAAGTTGATCAGACTGTTTCAAAAGAAGAATAAAAGACTTTTATATATAAAACACCTGATTTTTTTCACACTAGTTCAGTAACTAGATTAGATTTTTGAAGAGAATCTAATAAACTAAAATTAATTTTTAAGATAAATTAATAAAATCTTTACAATCTCTTTCTTGAAATATAGTGAGGAAAAGTATGATATCAATTGATAATAAATCAGATAATATGACAGTTTTTGAGAGAAAAACTGATAAAAAATAAATTAATTTTTTACAGAGAAATTGATTAAAACTATTCAATTTTATTCTAAATTATTCAATTCTTCTCACACAAGAAGTGTGCAACTCAAATCAGTTAATAAAGAGTGTAAAAAAGAATTAAATATTAATGAAAGCTCTTCAGTCACTGAGAAAGTAATTCTTATTTAAAAGAATATGAAATTATGACAGAAAACAGCTCTGTTTTTAATTCTTTGTAAGAATATTATATAAAACTCAGAGAAAAACATCTTACTTTTTCAAGAGAAGTAAAAAACTATTTCTAAGATCTTTTTTTTTTACATTAACTACTGCAGAAGAATGAAATAGAATCTGCTAAGATATACACTACTGTATACTCTCTATCAAGACTTTCTCTCTTCAGAGTCTTGATATTATAGAGAATATAAGTCTGTTTCTATATAATAATATAAATATTGTCAGCAGAATGTAGAGAAACTGATTATTTATATCTTAAAATAGAAGACTTTGTCAATGATTATATTAATATAGAGTTAATTCTCAAATTCAATAGAAATCTAGTGTTGCTGTTCTCAATCTCTTGCAGAATCTATTGAATATTAAGATATTAAAACTAGATTTAATATATCTCACTGTGCAGGGATCAAAGACTCAGTCAGATCTTGAAGTATACTGATTTTATAGTTGTTGATATGCTATTGACTCATTGTTCACTGATTATGTATTGAATGCTGTTGCTGAGGTATCTTTTTGTATTATTCTGTCAGAGATGGGCCAGATTGAGAGGGGTAGTACAAGGGTGAGACTTGGTGTTAAAGTCTAGATACACTGACGACAGACCGTGGAGGTTGCACTTCAGAAGTGTCCATTGGTTATGTGCTTGATATTATCGCCGAGGTATCTTTTTGTATTTTTCTGCTGGGGATGGGCCAGATTGGGAAGGGCGGTACGAGGGTGGGACTTGGCGTTGGTGTTTTGGAACATCAAAGATGGACAGGGTTTTCGCGGAGGTCACTCCTCAGATATCTCCACAACTACAGATCGGGGATCTTCCAAAATCGAGAAGATTGGTGCATATGGCTAGGTCTCTTCACCTTACAATTTGTATGGCAATTTGGCCCGGGGTTGTGGTGTGGTAGGGGAGAATGGGGGATAATCCCACGCAGGAGTTCCGAACGACGTCTGGTTCACGTTTGGCTGGATAACTCCACCACCACACGGGGTATGCGGTCGGCCATGGGGTCAAAATGCTCGTATGATCGAGGGCTTTTCGATGGATCTATCGGCGGGTTCTTATTCGAAAAATCGAGCGAGTTCGTGGTGGAGCGGTTGTTTTTTGATATGATGCTGGGTTGATGGATGATGGAAAAGCGAAAATATGCTCGCACCTACGAGTTGACAATAAGGGAGCAATTGATCTAGCAAAGGGAGAATCCTTAACGCGAAGGTCGCGCCACATCGAGATTAGATATCATATTCTCCGCGATTTGGTTGAAAAAGGGGAAATCATGATGGAACATGTTGGTTCTACAGCGAACATAGCTGACGGGCTCACCAAGCCACTGGCGAAGCCTGCATTTGAAGAATTTGTCAAGAGGGTTGGCATTCAGGAAATTGAGAAGAAGGAATGATTGAATGGTAATGATGATACAGCGGATCAATGGATTTTGCATGTATTTCTTGATTTTTACGGTTATTGCCGTACGGACGCCTTTCCTAATGAGGAAATCAGGGTCCGATTCATGTAATTAATTATTATTGCATTTTTGAAAGATTTGAGGATGGGGGAAGGCCCCGGGTGGCGGCTTATTATAGGCCACGGTGTAGCAAGGGGGGGTGTTGGTGATTACTACACCTACCCTAGTCACGTGCCACCCCAACCTATCCATTTAGTGAAACTCGCGTAGTTAGATTACAATATACAACACAACAACGTTATCCTCCAAGAGATTTTTCATAGTTTTTGTCAGATTGCCTCTCTTACAGACAAACTCCAGTTTAGTCTGTCCAACAACCTCAGCTATGACAACTCCACTACAGCCTTTACGGGTATTTATATACCAGAGACAGACGGCAGTCGATTCCTGCTCCGCTCAACCGTCCGATCCCGGTCTGTCATCGAACCCATCTTCTGTTAAAGACCAGGGAAGCAAGCTCTCACAGGATCCAAAGAGCGGCAGTGTCAGCAAAGCCCGCCCGAATTCAGAACGCTCCAAAAGCTCTTATACATATCATCCTGTTACATCATGGAAATGTTCGAGTGAAGAACGCCTTTTCCTAGAAACTGCATATGGACTGCAACTGACAGTTGTTAACTGTGGTGACATCAATAGCACTGTTGATATTTCCACAGAGGTTGATCAGAGACACAGAGTGGAGCCACAAAGAAGAGAGTGTCAATATCATTATCGATTGTTTCCAGACTGGCAAACATCGTATCTCTGGTATGACACAAGGTCACCTCACAACCCACCTGACGAGATCCACGTCGATGAGGACATAATTGAGGCTCGATATCCCACACTAGCGCCGTTCTATTTTGCGTGGCAGGACATATATGAGGGCTCATTTACCGCGCAGGGGTGTGACAGAGGAAGTGGTTTGGATGTTTTCCCGGACATTGCTGTTCACATTGGTTGGGAGGTTGAAGGCTTACTCATTGCATGCTGGCTGGTGCTGCAGGATGATGTGGAACAGGTGAAATATGAGCTTGCGACAGGGATGTATTGGATCAAGAAGGACAATTTGGGCGACATTCTGAGGCAATTTCTCACAGATATGGATTCTCTACTATAATCGAAGCAGCCAGAGACGACATTAATAGTCGGATTGAGTAACTTGGTTCTATGATTCCGGGTGTCTATAGTTAGCATATCTACAACACCGTGGGGCTACAATCTAAAAATAGCTTGCAAAGATTATGCTATGACATTGTGAAGCTCATATGCTCAAGCTGTGTCCAATGTTCGACTTCTATGCCCAGCATTTCTTTCGAAGTCTAGACATTTGAGCTTGATCTTTGCCCAACCAGAGAGGTATTTCTTGCTCTGGGATTATACAGGGGAAAAATATTTGACATGGTGGCAGACGGCTGATGGGGAGAAGTTGGTATAGTACGCACCACGGTTTCAAGGAACATGGCCGTGGCTATATTCTGCTCCTGAGAGGGGAACTACTTTTGGGCTTGCAGTCGCGTCGTGTTTTGTGCACTCCATTTTAGGCACACGTCTGCTCTTTATCTGCTCCCTCCCAAGCCGTATAAATACCATGCGCTTTGCTTGCGGCGAGCAAAGCATTCTCGTCGATACCCTTCAGTTTGGACGCATATCTCTGTATACCTGCATTCTCCTGATCTCCGCTCTCTCTTTATAGTCAACATGGAATGGCCACAGCTGACACTTGAAGACAATCAACCGCATCCGCTCCAGAGCCCGGTTGAACCCTGGGGATACATAAATTTCCGGCCGTTGAGCACGGAAAGAAATGCCCTAGGTAAGGATTTAATTGTAAATGTCTATAGTTTGGGGGGAAATGCCTTGAGAACAACAAATACAGGTTTCCATAAAATTTGATTCATTCCCTGAGAGACAAAAATATTGATGTATATATAACATATGTAGAATAATCCAAATGATAAGAATTAATTCTTACATCTCCGAAATGAAACACGGGCATCGGTTTAGCCCATAATGCCTTCCTCTCATTGGCGAAACCTGTGGAATGTGTCATTATCACTGGTGTTATCAAGAGCTACTAGTTTGACTGTAGATTATCCTCAGTTTGGATAACTTGTAATCTTATCTGCTGTACCATCAAAAGGAACACTAGCATTCAGCCTGGGCTTTTTGGGCATTCTGCTAAGAATTGAAGATATTTCATCCGCATCTTCAACTGGGGTTGCAAAACTCCATTGCACATTCTGATAGGCAACTTCATCAGACACCGTTGATACATCAGAATCGTCTAAGGTGACAGCTTCATCCGAAGCCGTCCCTTGCTGAGACACCCAATGCTGTTGAGACTGGGCATCCAGGCGTTGTTCATTTGCCAACTTGATAAATCCATCCCTCTTTTCCTTTGCCCAATCTCGAGCATTTCGATATGCGCATGCTCCTTCCCGAAAGGTTTGTGGGTCGCTGGTCATTGACCAGCCCTTGAACTGGGTTGTAAAATATTCAGGACAATGGTTTGGGCCTTCAGGCTCAGTGAGATGAGTGGTGTATAATTTTAGTGTGCCGCCATGATAAGTTGACGCAAGAGTGTAAGTGTTATTGTCGTAGGCTGATTCATCTTGTTGGTATCACTGGAGAGAGTGCATGCCTCGAGCTCCTAGTGCGCCATCATAACAAGCCTGCCATGTAGCCACAGCCAAGGATCCATCGGGACCTTTTGCTTCCAAAAAGAAGTTTGCTAGCATCAGAAGATAACACTGTGTTGATGATATGATATGGTTGCTAAGCTCTTTGCAGATTTGACAATCGAGCTGCTCAGGACGTGCATCATAGAAGTGATCTGGTTTGGCCTGAGCCAGTGTGCCATCAGTTAAGGGAGCAAGATTTCCAAACAGGTATCCTCCTGCAGTGCATTTAAGATCACTGACATTGCCTTCAATGATAGGAATCACTGATGTTGTGACTGGTTGTTCTTTAGACGCATGTGTATCCGCTCTTTTGAATTTCCGGAAATGCCCATCAGAGAACTTTGATGATGAGAGAGAGGGTCTGAGAGTCAGAGTCAAGATAATCTTTCTTTGATCTCCTCCCAGTTATTTGGCATTGCTGGTATTCAACCATCAGGATATTCATACCCATCAGGGTAAACGCCATGATCGATTAGATTCTGCTGGAAGTTACAATTATAGGCTGTGGTGCTCGTGGTCTTTGTAGTGTCCTTGGTATCTGCAGTTGATGATGGAGGAGATCTCGCACGCCGCTTTCTAAAATGTTTTTGTAGCACACGAGCTGTCGGGAAATAAGAGGTCATACACTATGAACGCCATCAACATCATATTACTACTATTTTTCTTATCATCAGCTTACTACAATTGCTCATCTAATACTCACTAATGCTAGCTCTCTTGGCTCGCACATTTGTTTTACTATAAATAGCTCTATATTTTGTATGCAATTAGCTATAATAGATAGAGTACAGATAATATAAGAAGCAGATCTTGATACACATGAAATTCATATGTTTCCGACACATTTATCCAAGATATCAATTCAACAGTTATGAGCCCGGCAAGCAGCATCTGAATAGAAGCGTGATACTAATCTCAACTCTTATTTGAATAGATAACAATCATTTGAACTGAGACAATTGAATTCTCATTTGTATACATTTCAAACTACTCAATTATTATACACTGAATCTTAGCAAGCAGCACCTGAATAGAAGTGCAATATTGATTTCAATTCTCATTTGAATAGATAACTATGATTCAAACTGAGATAATTGATTCTCACTTATATATATTCTGAAATACTTAACTGTTATACACTCTTAATTTCAATCATATCTACTATTTAAATACTTAAACTGATTATTTAATATAACAATGACTAGTATAATGCATGATCAGCAGCTTCATCAGAGATAATCTCAGAAACTCAGAAGTCTGTTCAGACAGTGAAGACTTACTTATATATAGATATTTATGTCTACTTAATTCAGAACATCCGCATTATTATTCTTTAATACAGATATATAAGTGACTGAGATATAATATCTTCTACTGTTATTCTGTATACTCTTAAGCTTGATAAGACAGTTATTCAATGTTCAGAGTTGTATATAAAAGACTTCATAAGTTAAGTCTTTATCAATACTATAAAGAACTTATAAGAGTTTAAAAGTTAGTATCTTCTTGAGTATACTAATCTTCATTCAATTCTCTCAAGATTAATTATCTGCTTCTAGAATCTTGATATTGAAGTTAGAGATAAATGTTATAAGAGAAGTATTTCTCTGTTAAATACTCTATAATTAATCTAATATCTTTTACTGTATAGTAGTGTCTCTGAATAGAATATTAAGATATTTAATAATATTATTAGAAATATATAACACTGATTTACATATCTTTATTAATAAATGAAACTTCTGTTTTATATAATCTTTCAATTAATGATTGATATATTAATCTTGATTAGTTAATGAACTGATGACATTCTCATCTACACTTAGTTTTACAAGCAAGTTCAATCTTCATGATAGATAGAGAGTGAGGTTGAAAGTATTAAAATATGTAGAAGTATCTAGATATTTCTTCAGTACTTATAACTTATCACTCTGTTTATAAAGTACTAAAGATTGAAAGAGAATATCAGATTAAAAAGATTATTAACTTAGAGAAGTAAGATTATAAGCTCTGATTTAAGATTCAGTGAAAAGAGTATTCTGATAAGATAAATAAGTTCACTTGAGAATTATCTAAGTAGATAAGATATCTGTAGAAGCTGAGATATAACTTTCATATTATAAATTCTAATAAGTTAGAATAATATAATCTTCTATGATTCAAAAATTGCTTAAGTCAGTGTATAATTACAGATATACACCGGCTTTTTATATATATTATACTAAATTAATTGGTGACTGCTATAACCTCTTTACATTTATAAGTATATTCAGAAGCAGCTGTATTATTATTCAGCAGTTATACATTCTTCTGAATTACATTCTTTAACATCAAATTCAGTTATATTTATATAATCATGATGTAAGCTGCTTCTCAGAGAAGCTTTCACTATTTTACATTACTTATTCACTAATATTTTCATTCTCTAATCATTATTCTTATCATTGTCATTATTAAATATAATTATTTTATACAAGATTTCTGTCTCTCTTTCTATTCAATATATTCTATTTTTATTCATTTATTTATCATATTATATATGTTCTTGATAATGATCTCTTATTCTTATAACAAGTGTTATTGTAGTACTCATATCAGGCAGTTTATTAGCAGTAAGTGAAATATGTTATGAAATGTGATCTGAACTTGTTTTTCTAATAATTATCAGAATATATTATTATAAATAATATATTTTCTTTATCTTCTTATATACTCTTGACTCTTTTCTTCTCAGTAAGTATCTGATTGTGTTTTCTGACATGATTTTATATAAATACAGATGCTGATATATTTGTTTTTATTTATATAAACTCTTTATATATTGACAGATTCACATCTGTCAATGATAATAAACTCAATATTGAATTGTTAATTGAGAACTTAAAGAATGTGATAATGAAGAAATTGTCTGTATTATATATAATGTAATCAATCACTTAATACTTATTTCCACCTAACACTCACCTTTGTAAATCAATTACAATCAACTTTAAATGTTAATATCTTAATAAATATTCATTATTTTAATTTTCTAATTTATAATCTATAAATATCAAGACTTGTAGTATAATATAATTCAAAATTATTATAATATAGTTAAAATTAATTAAAATATGAATTCAATTAGAAAATAAAATACAGTAAAATAAAATATATAATATTTTATTATAAATTAAGAAATATGTATTATATATTATAGTGAGTTCACTGAAATATTAGAAATTTCACACTTATTACTGATCTGCTCTGTTATTATTTATTATTATTATTCGTTCATTATACTCATATGCAAGAGAAGCTTATAATGAGTCCTTGCATAATGTTAAATACAGATTAAGTGTTGATTATATAGAAGGAAATACAGATGTTGAGATCATGTCAAGATAATAAGAACATAGAAAAATACAAAGAAGTGATAATTAAATACATACAATAATAACTTCTCAGCTGAGAAATATAGAGTGATTCATTGAAGTAATTTATACACCTCTGTATTTATTAGAAATCTGAGATGCTTGAGTTTCAAATTTAATGTATTCTCTGCAGGTTTCGAACCCACGCGCCTTGATTTTCCACGCCAAGGCGCTACCGGGTGGCCGTATTAATTATTCGGCTACCGGGGCTGATCTGCTCTGTCTTATCATCACATAATTAGCTAGAATACTTTTAAAGATTGTAGACATTTTCTTTTTCTCATAATTGAAATTATTTACAGTTATTAATCACTCATCTTAAGAAGTATTAACTTCAGAAGCATGTCTGAGTCTCAATCATTATATCTCTTATCTTGTGATATAAGCTTAGAGAGAAATGACTCAGTTCAGTAATTAAGCAGATTATTTTTATAGCATTTTCAGCAGTAAATTAATCACTCATTGATCTTATTATTCAGATCTATACAGCTATTATAAGAAGTAATAATCTATTAGTATCTTAATTATCAAGAGAAAATGATTCTGAAGTGACTTATCAAATTATACTGAGAGTCTGCTAATAACTATAATTTCTTATTAAAGTAGTAGTCAGAGTAGCAGTAACATTTCAGTCATCTCAAGCTGATTCAGTTATTAGTTATCAGTCATTCTCTGCTTCAACTATGAGTACTGTCATTATATATATCAGTGATTATACAAAAAAAGCAAAGTTTATATGATATATAAAGAAATAACTGAATATATATATTAATTTATACTATATTAAGCAGATTAAAGAATATATAGTATTTAACAACTGCAATATTCTGATAAGAGAGAATAAGTATCAGAATTATAAGAATCTAGTACAGTGAATAAATTATTAAGATATAAAAAAAATACTACTCTTACAGAAGAGCTTTCACTGAACTTTATAATTAATATTAAGAGATTTCTTTGACAGCTCTGATATATATCTGATATAGAAGATTTAAGATTTATATTCAGTTTATTCAGCACTGTTTAATAATCTGTTAAGAATAAATGAAGAAGCTGAAGATAAAAATAATAATTCACTGAACTACTCTGTTAAGTTAAAGTTAATAAAAGATTATATAACTCTGAAGATTTTTAATCATCTATTATTAAGTCAGATATTAGAGAAAGTCAGTATATAATTTATAAATCTCTTCAAGCTTGAATTACTTTATTTATTTCTTAATAAGCTATAAGAATTCTATGACACTAATTGAAATAAGCTCTCAGTTTTGAAATCAGATCATTATTCAATACTTTTCTATAATAAGATAATATTCTCAGTTCAGTATATCTATTCAATTAATCAATTAATCAATCAATCAGTTATTGACTTGCTAATATATAAATCAGAGATCATATTCACTGAATCTCTCTTATGAAAGAGAATATTATTCAATATCAGAGAGCAGAGCTTGATCAGATTACAATTATATTTATTCATGAAATAGAAGAAGTTAAGTAAATTTTCTTTACAGTTATTTCTCTTCATTATGTCATGTATGATTATCTACTGAATCTGCTGATTTTACAAGAGAATTCTAGTAATTACACTATTATTGAACTGCTGATGATTTAAAAGACAGTATTGTATAACATTCTGATACAGAATAGTGATGAAAATAATGATCATTTAATGTATAAGTCTCAGATAACAAGATATTTGCATTGTAATTAACATATCTCATTTCTTTAAATAGATAGTTGATGAATAGCAGCTGAGTACTAGATAACTAGCTTAATAGTATATTGATTTCACTGACAGAACAGTATACAGTGTCTTATAGTATCTTAGTAGTATTCTGATAATGATATCTGTCAATTACACAGTTACTGAGTAGTATTATAATAATATTAGAAAGTTCTATACTGTCTTAATATTATTTTAACATTTAATATTCAGTAACATGTCACTGAATATAATAGTGAAACATGTGTTATAATCAGTAACACGTGACACAGGTGAAATAATGAATTCACAGTGTAATCACTGTAAATTAACTCTATGTTCTTTCCGTATTGTAATGTGCCGGAACCGAAGCGGTGGCTAGTCGGCGGTGACACGTAGAAGTAGTTGTTTGGAAAGCTGTATGAGTGAGCTTGACTATCTTGCTTAAATAGTGAGCTTGTAGACTACAGAGTTATTGTGAGAATATCACAGATATGATACTTAG